ACAGTGTCTAGAGAAGATGAGATCCAGGATGGGTTCGTGTCTTTTTACAAGCAGCTGTTTGAGGAGACTTCCAGTTGGAGGCCTTTACTTGATGGGCTTGAGTTTGCAGCAATCTCGGAAGGTGATAGAGACGGGCTTGAAATGCCTTTTGGGGAGGAAGAGGTGTTGGCGGCTCTGAGGAGCTGTGATGGGGATAAAGCTCCTGGGCCAAACCGGTTTACTTTAGCTTTCCTCAACAGAATTGGGAGGTGGTGAAGGCTGAGCTGATGGGGGCATTGGATTCTGTTTTTCTGCATGGTTCTTTTGAGAAGAGCCTCAATGCTTCCTTAATCACTTTTATTCCCAAAAAGGGCGGAGCATGTGAGGCGAAGGACTTTAGACCCATTAGCCTTGTTGGGGCAGTGTTTAAAATTATTGCGAAAGTCTTAGCCATTCGGTTGAGGAGAGTTCTCGATGAGGTGATCTCGGACTCCCGGAATGGAGGGCGTCAAATTCTGAAATCAGTTTTGATTGCTAGTGAATGCATCGAGGCTAGGGCATGAAGTGGTATTCCGGGGGTTGTATGCAAGCTGGATATCGAAAAGGCTAATGATCATGTTTGTTTGAATTTTTTGATGTACCTGATGAAGAGAATGGATTCTAGGCAAAAGTGGAGGGCGTGGATTCTTTTATGTATTTCAACTTCTCGGTTCTCTATTTTAGTTAATGGGCAGCTGGTTTTTTTGCTAGTTCTCGTGGCTTGAGGTTGGGGGACCCTCTTTCCCCATTCTTGTTTATTATCGTCATGGAGACTTTTAGCCGTCTGATGGGGAGGGCGGGAGAACTAGGGTTCATTCATGTATTCTCGGTAGGTAGAGCTCCAAATCAATTGGTCATCTCCAACCTGCTCTTTGCAGATGACACCATTGTTTTTTTGCGATGCTAGCCTCCTTCAGTGCATATTGGCCTGCTTCCAAGTTGTTTCCGGGTTGAAGATTAACATTGTTAAAAGTGAGACTCTACCAATTGGGGAGGTGGATGATATTCATGCCTTGGTTGATACTCTGGCATGTGATGTTGGCTCTCTTCCAATCTCCTACTTGGGACTCCCTTTGGGAGCCTCGTCAAGGAGAGTTTCTATGTGGGATCCGATTGTTGAGCAGTTTGAGAGGAGGCTTGCAGGTTGGAAGAAGCAATACTTGTCCAAAAGGGGGAGGGTTACTCTTATGAAAAGCACACTCTCAAATCTCCTGACCTACTATATGTCGCTCTTTCCGATGCCTAAGACAGTAGTTCGAAGACTCGATGATATTCAGAGGAAGGAGGAAGATTATGTGGGGCGGTTTAGGAGATGAGTTCAATTACCACTTGGTTAACTGGGAGAGGGTGTGTTCCCCTATTAATAAGGGGGGTTTGGGGATTCGAAGGCTGGATGTGTTTAGTAAGGCGTTGGGCAAGTGGCTGTGGAGGATCGGGGGAGAGAGGTCCAAGCTTTGGAGGCGTGTTATAGCTTGTCATTACGGGGAGGGTGATGTAGGGTGGATTTCTAAAGAGGCTAGAACCCCGGGCTATTGGAAACTAATCCGTAGAGGTTGGGATGAATTCTCTAAACGTATTCGGTTCAAAGTTAGAAACGGGAGTAATGTCAAGTTTTGGGAAGATAGATGGCGTGGGGATTCGGCTTTAGCTAGTAGATTCCCTCGTATTTACTAGATTGATGTGTTTAGAGATGCTGTGGTCGCTGACTATTATCGTCTCGATAATGGGAGGGTGACTTGGGATGTGCAGTTCAGTAGACAGATTCATGATTGGGAACTTTTGGAGGTTACAGACTTCCTGGCCTTCATTTATAGACAAGTGGTGGTCGGGTTGGGCATGGATGAGATGCTGTGGGTGGGTACCTCGAGAAGGGTGTTCGAGTTTAAGTCCTTCTACAAATGTATGTTGGAGCATCCTGGCCTATGTTTCCTTGGAAAGCCATTTAGAGGACGAAAGCTCCACTGAAGGTGGCATTCTTCTCTTAGACAGATGCTTTGGGAAGCATCCTTACTATTGATAACCTTAGAAAAAGAAGTCATATTGTGGTTAACAGGTTTTATATGTGCAAGAAGATGGGGGAATCTGTCAACCATCTCCTTATTCATTGGTCTTTTGGGCTATGTTTTTGGTTGCGTTTGGTCTTCCATGGGTGTTCTCAGAATCCACGGTTGACTTGTTAGAAACTTGGAAAGGATGTACAGTGGAGAGCCGAGTCAAAGATTCTTGGAGGGGTCACTGCCCTCTGTATTTGGTGGAGTCCATGGCGCCAGGGGCAGAGGGAAGGGGGGGCTGGCAGGGGCCATGGCCCCTCCTAATTTTTTTGGAAATTTTTTTTAGTATAGCTAAAAATATACTAAAAATAAAATAGTATGACATATATGATATAAAATCTATACTTGGCCCCCCTCAGATTTTTTTTTTTTATTTCTTTAATTAGCATTTAACAAAGATAGTTTATATATAATGTAAAAGAACGTGATTTAAATCGTTCCATAATGTGACTATCATAAATCCTTCTAACTCAAGCACGATTCTTTCCATAACTTTATTATCCTAAAATTCCATCTCATACATGATTCTTTCCATCACTTTTTTTTTTTTTTTTTTATTTTTATTGGAATGTTTTTATAAGAATTCTATAAGAAATTAATTTTTACAAAATCGATGATTTAAGAATCTAAATTCTTATTTTATTAATTTGTTTGTGTTTTTTTTTCCGGCAAATAAAGAGAGTTATTTAATTGATTTTTTTTTAATAATTTTGGCATAAATCTTATTTGTGTTTGGTTAGAAAGTTTGATAAAAAAAAAATTTCTTTAAATAACTAGTTTTTTTTTTATGAATAAATTAGGAAAAGTTTAGATAAGATATATTTTTGTATGAATATCCTACATAATATATTTATTTTTTTTTCAAAAGTTTTAGCTAGGTTGTTGTTTATAATTTTGGCCCCCCCAACCTCAAAATCCTGGCTCCGCCCCTGTATGGCGCGAAATAAATAGGAGATACTTTGAAGGAGAGGAGTCTCCCATTTGGGCTATTAAATACAATATTCTTACTTCTTTATTCTTTTGGGTAAATGTGCGGGATTGAAATTCAATGGATTGTCTTTTGGATTTTGTGGATAGCTTAAAGCTATAGTGTCGATTTTGGTCAGCTTTTGTCTTCTTTGGGAATGCTCCCTTTTGAGCGTCTTTTATAAAAATCTTACTTATCAGGAAAAAAAATAAAAAAATAAAAAAATTGCACATTATGTGTTTCAAACTAGGGTGTGAGGTTAAAAGAATTCACGACCATAACATCCGCTTCCTTTACATAACTCCCATTACATTAAAATACTGATACTCCACATCACATCCGCATCAGCAATAGACTCAATTTTGGCTTCTTTTTTCATAATGTTTTTCAAGCAAGGGTGAGGTTAAAAGAATTCATGACCATAACAGCCGCTTTCTTTACATAACTCTAGGAAAAGGCTCAAGGCGCACTAAGGCGCCAAACGCCTTCTAGAGCCTAAGTGCAAGGTGCAATATAAGGCGCGAGCCTGATCCAAGTAGGGCGCGAGTATAAAATAATGCATATTTAAACATATAATATTATATATATTCATAATCAAGCACTAATTGCAGTTAATGTAAGCAGTGAACCATAAATTTAAGAATTTTGTCAAATATTTCATAAGTTTAAAACAATACGATATATGATATAGAACCTTTTAATTTAGTAGTCATTAAGTAAACAAGAAAATGATACAAATAAATGATTAAAAAATACAAGGCGCGCCTTTTTTGAGCCTAGAGCCTACTAAAAAGCGTAAGCCTAAGGGCTTTATGTGAGCCTGATTGAAAGGGTCTCACCTGTAGTAGGTTGAGGCGATCTAGCTGAGCCTTGATGAGCCTGGGGCTTTTTTAGAGCCTAGGCGCACCTTTAACAACTATGCATTACCTCAAGTATATGTTACTCCACATCACATCCGCATCAGCAATAGACTCATGTTTGGCTTCTTTTTCATAGCCACAGTCATTTCATATGCCATTATAAAGCGAGTAGAGGGGAAATTGACTAGGTGGTTGAGGAAAATTTATGCGTAGATAGTTGCACTTCAGTGCTTATATTCTCCTGTTACTTTAGTCAGAAATAACATTTGTCATTTTGTTTACATGTTAGGTTCCTGAATGGAATGATTTGATCCTTACTAGCACAAGGGAGGGCACCTATTCATACATCATTGTTAGCTGTGTTGGAGTGGATGATGCTCTATACACAAGCTTACTTTGATGTGAATATGTATATCATGATGCATGACTGGTAGTCTGCTTATCATGCCTAAATTACAACAAAAGAAATATATGAGAATCTTATTAATGTTATCACTCTTGAAAATGTTAAAGAATATGTTGGCCGATTACCTAAAGAGTGTTCAATTAATATTGGCTCACCAAATAGAAAGAATACATGTTGCTAATATTTTCTGACGCATTCCTATAATGGCTTCCTAGCTGATCTCATCTAAATGGAATAAGGAGGCCCAAATAATATGAACCTTTTCAAGGCACTCTTAACGATATTTTAATATAAAAAAATACACAAGAAAATAAAGCACAGATAAGCTCATGGCTACTGATATGGTGTAGAACTGCTTGTGATGCTTGTCCAAATTAATAAGACAGACCTAGTTATTTTCTAGAACTTAAGAAACTTAGTTGGTCAACCTTCATATTTCAAGAAGTATTACGTTCTAAGGTTTTGGAAAGGTAAAACCTAAAAGATTTTAGATCAGATAATCCAGTAGATTCCAAGCTTTCAGTGCCATATACAAGATGGAAAAATAATAATAATAAAATAAAATTAAAAATCTGATAATAAAACCAGGAAGTGCCTAAATCAGCAGACTAAACAATGCATGTAAGGTATCACTTATTTATGAATACAGAAGAATGCCACTCTAACAGAAAATCAATAAACCAATCAAGCATTGGTACCAAGCGCTCCCGATTGTGTTTTCTGCAACAAGTGCTCCTCCGCACGCGGGAACGCATCGAGGTTCTTTAATGCTTGTTTTACACGCATCCTTCCTCGTTCACAGTATAAAATTACCTGTCATATCCATAAAAGTTTTATAATTTATTCTATGAATGACTATATCATGTTTCAACAAGATCAATGTTGTCTAAAGCCCAAAGCGACCTCAAAGTGCAAAGATCCTATATGCCTGTAGCACTGGGCAAAAGCACAACTAATTTCTTAAAAAAGTTTATAAGCATCTTGTAATTTGTGTGTGCATAGATATAATACTTAATAGACTAAATCAGACATAACCACAGAGTGGCACAGATAATGATCAGAATTCAACATTATGACTGAAGCTGGAAAAGAAAACAAATAACTACAGAATAAGGCATAACAACAACAAAAAAGGACCCACCTCATGCAAAAAAAACCTGTAAATTGTGAATTAGTAGTTTTGAGGGGGGAGTGCAAAAAGGTATAAGCAGGAGAATTTGATAAGCCAATGATTATTTTTCGTGTTTCAGAATGGGGGCAACCAACATGTTAACTAATCAATTAAGATAAATTATATCAGATTTTGCAGTTTTTTCTTGGATAATAATATGAATACTAACAACACCTCTCTAATTCAAACTTCAAATATACAATATTTAAAATTTAAAAAAAAAAAAAAAAAAACAAACAAAACCCTAATCGCTGTGAATCCTGATAGTATCAACGAGAAATGAGCGAATTGACCGTTGCAACAATATCAAAACCGTCTAAAGATAAACACTTGAGTAAAGAAAGCAACGAACTTATTATGTACAGTAATTAATCAAACTTCGAAAGTAAAATTCGAATTGAAGGTATGCAAACCAGTGACGTAGTAAGGATGGGATGCTGAAAATTACCTGATCAGAGCCCGCCACAGAGTCGCCGAAAGTGTCTAATGGAAATTGAAGAGAGAGTCGGCGATCGGCGCCAGACAAGACATACAAACATACTTAAGAGAGAGTCGGAGAGGTGGCTGGTTAAATAACTTAAATTGCAGTCCGATTAGAACAATGTCTCTAGCAATTGGAAAAATAATACTAATTGCAAAAGTCCTAAATTTTCCCCTTGAATTATCAAAATTTTGACTATTAGCCCTTTTGTAATTGACAATTACAATTAGCCTTTTCGTAAACTACACCCGCAGTTTTTTAATCGGTCAACACGGTTAACAAAAATTTTCAAAATGCCCATATTACCCTTCTTTATATGAAAAGACAACAATAGCCTAAAAGTTGTTTAAAAACTCTTCCAACCAATCAACCAATATGTCCCCATCTTCCCCAAATTAATGTGGATTTTAATAATATGAAGTAACTTTTTTTTTTTTTCTAAATGATGGAAATTTTATAAATAAAGCAATGGAGTACAATTACAAAAGAGACCTAGCCTCTAAAACTACCAACATTCACAAGGAGAAAGAAGGGTAACATAGGGGACAAAACCCTAACCTCAAATATGAATAATGTCTCTTTCAAACCTCTCCACACCTTTGTAACATAAGAACATTGACAAAAGATATGATCTTTAGTCTCCACATGACAATGGCAAAAAGCACAGGCTAATACTAAAGACACACCTCTCCTTTACAGATTGGTACTAGTAAGGATGGCATCTTGAAAGACAAAAATAGTATGGACAGACCATCTAGGTCTACCCCCATTCCAACACAATTTAGCCTAATTCACTACAGGTCTAGACATTCTGCAGGCCTCCCAAACAAGTTTGAAATAGAACTATATTTTCTACCATAATAGCTTATCTTCACCCCCATTAATTTTGAAACAGTTTGAGAACTAAAAAACTTAATTGTTTCAGGAGGAAACTTGAGATAATCCCAGGCCTGATATAAGACAAAAAATGCCAAATCAGCACTCTTCTTAGGACACAACCTTCACAGCAATCTGTGGTCAAACTCCTGAGAGAGGAAGCCCTCACACCAAGGATCAAGGAAGAATTTGGTTGAAGAACCATCCCCAATTCTGTATGTGATGACCGTGCCATCCTTTTCTTTTTTTCACGTTTTTTATTTTATTTTATTTCTTTTCGTCTTCGGGTCATTTGGGCACAAGACCGAGTCAATTGCTTGGGGATGACTTCCGACACTTCATTCATTCCATACTTGCACGTTTAACCCTCATATCATCATGAATGTGTGTTGCACTTGTATTCACTTTTATGTGTTTTTTACTTTTATTTTCATTCTTGGGGTATTTATGTAATTATTTTTTGTAGATATTTTTTTTTGGGGAAAAAGTGCGATTATGTTTTGGAGATATTTCTATTTTGGGATTTTTATGTGATTCTTAGATTTTAGAGGGGTCATTTTGCAGTTTTGGAATTCTTTTAGGATATTTGTTAACTATAAATATCCTATCCTATCTTTTTCCTCTATCTCTCTCCATTTCTCTTTCTTCCTCCATTTTTGTTTTTATCTTCTTTTTACCTTATCTCTTCATTTTGGCTAGCTTCCATCTAGCTTTTGGTGTTACCATAGAAGGGAGAAAGCTCGAGGACTCCATTGCCGACATAACCCCCACTTTATTTTGGATTTGGAACATCTTTATTTTCAAATTTCCTAGGTTGTTATCCTAGAGTGAGGTAGGGGGTGTAGTATAACTTTAAACTAGTGTTTTCTTTGTGTTTTGGAGTATATATATGTTGTGCTTGTATAATGTGAGTTGTGAGGGTTTTCATCATATTTTGCTATAACTTAGATCTACTTTAATGTTTTAACAGGAGTAGACGTAGCTTTATAAATGGTATACTCATTGATATATCTATGTGGTTATAAGATTAAAATGTGTTTTTGGAATAGTTGACATTTATACCCTCATCTATATATCCTATTGCATGAGATTAGTATATGATTCATATTTAATCTTACGGAAGTGTTGTTTAATCTTTGAATATGAATTCATATATATGAATAGATGATTGTTTAAGTTGTAGTAGGTTGTTGAGGATAAAATGCTAATATGTGTAAGTTTCATTAGCTTTGATATCATATATATTCATTGATGCCATTTGTACATATTTCTAAGCCATTTTAGTATTGGAGACTATAGGGCATGATGGTGTGTGTCGTCGCGTGTGCACCAAAGTTACAATAAAAGTATAGTCAAGTTTAAATTTATAAAGTGCCACAACTACGTCTAACTACTAATATAGTTAGGGTAAGTAGGGATCATCCCAAGGGATTGGGTGCGTGCTTCGAATAGAAACAAAGTCGGATTAGTAGGTCTAGTGATCAAAAGATTGTTTGTTTGGTTAATCAAGCTATAATGTAAACAAATTCAATGTAAAAAAATTAAAATAAATAAAAGGTAGAGAACAAGAAAGAGAGGTCTTGGGATCTAGAGGTCACCACTAAACACCACCTTTCTAGACACTCAATGTTTAATGAATGAGGGGAAATATGTGTTGCAATACAAAGAGGTGTGATTGATTGAATCAACACGCATGGATTGACTAATTAAGTATACATTGTCTAGACAACCTAGTGAATAGCATAATATATCAAACTAAGTCATTATTCCTTTCTTTAAGCTCACAATCAACACACTAACAAGTTAGAGAATTATACTACTTGCATTCATAAGTATGAAACATCAAACAACAAGTATGGATTGTCCTCACATCTAGGAAAATAAGGCAACTACACTACATCTAAGCTAATGACATGAAAATTAAACTAATTAAACTAAGGTTAAAGGCACAATCCATCAAGAAATGAGTATGAATCATCAAACAAATCTCAAGAGTACACTATTTAAGCACTATGCCTTGACAATCTCTAGATTCATAGCATCAATACACATAGAAGTGCATCAATATTACAAAACCAAGAGATAAACACATGAACATCTATTCTAGCATACATAAACATATAAATAGAACGAAATGATCAATTGGAAGTATTAATCAACACAAATCATTGTAAAAACAAGATTCATATATAAATCAAATGTCAAGACAAGATTATAACACAAATCCCCTTAAAATACAAAACATCAAGGTCTAGAAGGCATGCTTAGGGCTAACTCTAGCCCCAGAAGATGTTTAGCCACTCATTGATGTTGTCATCCAAACCTCAAGGGCCATCTCTATGGTAGGAATGATCTTCTTCTTGATGGAAATTCTAGAAGAATGGAAGAACTCCCAAAATAGTGTATGTCTCTTTAATCTCTAGCCTCCTCTCCAAGATAGTATATGATATGAGATATGTGAGTTATGATATGATATGATGTAAAAATGGCTCAAAACCCTTATATAGGTAGCTCAAGTGTCACACCCAATGGTCAAGTCTTGCGCACTAGGGTCCCTTCAATGATTGCACCACGAGCCATCTTTTAATGAGCTAGACTCTATTTTATTTCGGACTTGAAGAGGTTCGATCGATCGAATTCAGATGAGATCGATCGAACTGTGACCAGATCCATCGAAGTGAGGCCAGATCAATCAATCTTTGGTGGCGCCTTTTTGGAATAAGACAAATCTGGGATATTTTTAGGATATTTTGGGAAAAAGATAAAAGTGGTAAGTGGGGATAAGATCAAGGAAGTTCGATCGATCTGAAGAAAGTTGGATTGATCAAAGATGGAATTTCTTAAAGATAAGGACAAGGGGTTTGATCCATTTTGGTAAGGCTAGATCGATCAATGTGAGATCGATCAAAAGTATTCTTGATCGATCGAAGCTTGCTATTTTTCACCACTTTGCTTCAACGTTGTTCCATTCTTCCATTCAGTTTGAGATTGCTTCTTTTATATTCTAATTTGGCTGAATTGACTTATTTTGGGGATAAGCACTTGAAAAGGGCAATAACATGAAATTAATTTAAAAAGGAAAAATAAGATAGATAATAGTTCTAGAATACTCGAGATTAAGGGGTTTAAATATGCACTTTTCAGTGCTCATCACACCCCCAAACTTAAATATTGCTAGTCTTTAGCAATGAACTACAAAGTAAAGGAATGAAATGAACATCTATACAACTATGAACTAGAAAGTAATAAATGGATAACGCCACTTTTATAGGGAACACGATTGCATTTAGCACATGCAACAAGCCTTTTAAACCCCTAGGTTACCCCTATTAGACAAGTGAAGTCTCGTGAGGGTTTCCAGAAATGATACCCACAAACATTAAGCTCATTCTCTCAAAAGAGGCACTAATATTGCAAACAAACATTGGGAGAAAACTACCTCAAGTATGCAATTTTTCAACCATTTCCAAGCAATCTCCCAAAATTTCAACATTAAACAAATAAGTATGATCCTCCACACATCAAGAAAATGATCATGCAAATCAAAACAACTCTAGAATCCTTTTTGAGTGGACTGGCATCAAGTGTGTTGCTATCTAAGCCACCTAGAGAAATGATCACATCCTTACTCTCAAACTAATACACAAATCTAGTACCGATCATCAAGACAAAGAGTGGACCTTTTATTAAAACTTTATTCACTAAGTGCGCTTATTCTTTTCACTCAATTTTATTTTATTTTTATTTTTTAAATAATCCTAAGGATCAAAGATGGAAGCATGGTGCAATGTGTTGATCTATTAAGCTTTCTGCTGATCCATGAGGTCGAGCGTTAGGTCAATGACTCCCAAACCGGACGACTTTAAGGCACTAGGTGTTCAAACACCCCTAAGGACTTACGTGGTCAAATCAACTAGGCTACAAATCAAACCAACTACCATCTAATCATTTTCCACTTCTCACCTTTTGGGAGAAGTCCTCACTTTTTTTATTATTTTGTAACTTTTTTTCTTTTTTTTTTATTTTTTTATTTTCTTTTTAGCAAGTTCAATTATTAACAATTTGGGCCCTCCACCTTTCGGCGTGAGAAATTCAGTGCTTGATGAGGCTAGAATCCCGGCTACTCAATGAAAAGGGTTTGTTATCCACCTTTATCAAAAATTAAAGCTTTCAATGCACTACTAGCCCAATTGGGATATAACCAATTCAATAATTAACAAAGCATGTACCCCACAAATGAATGCTAGTGTGCGCCTGTGCTAGTGTGGAATACTAGAGTGAATCT